TTTTTTTTTTTTTTTTTTTTTTTTTTTTTTTTTTTTTTTTTTTTTTCCCTAGGTATATCATGTTTGTTATTTCATGGTCGGAGAGCATAAAAGAATGAAGCAATGAGTGCTGTCTGGTCACAACAGCAGACCAAAATAGCAAGCTGGTATATAAAATAACATGAAAGAAGGTGGTCACAGGCTTGTCCTCTCATCTGTCACTAGGCCTTTTAATCAGGCAGTGAATAGCAAGTCAGCATGACATAATGCTGCTGATTATTATGCAGAGATCTAATGACTGCATCTACTCTACCCAATTACAGCATTCTCAGAAGTTCTCTTGGGACAACATCTCCTGACTGTTCTGACTATACAGAGCTTAGTGGTCCCCTCTGAGTGCCCTGTAAACACCATCTCTGAGCTCACAAGAGGATTCCTTGAGATGCCAAGCTCTAAGAATGACCTCACCTGTGCCCTCTCTATGAACTACATCCTTTCACCTCCATTATGCACGGTTTGACTCTGCTGCATGAAATTCCCAGAGCATCATAGAATGACTGTCCAGATATTATCCTGCATGGGCAGGAGGCACAGGCTCTCTCACATTACAGCATGCACCTTAGGTACCTGAAAGATCTGGCATTGAGAAGACAAGAACAATTTTGGCTTCCATCAAACAAAAAGCCTTGACATATGTAACTTCCATAAAACTCAGGGAGAGTTCACCTAGTATGTTTAAAACATTTCTTAAATATTCTTTCAGGGATGGAATTATGAATGGGAAAAATCACCCCAAAGTGTATTTTGCAACACTATAGAGAAAAATAGGATAAATAAATAATACTCTATTTTACTGTGAAGTTAGAACTCAGAATTTCAATGGATCATTCAAACAGAAAAAATACTTCTGCAAATAAATTACATTTTCATTGTGAGCTGTAGTATTGTCATCAGCACAGATTAGTAAACTGTGAAATAAGGAGTCAACATGGAGACCCTCTGTTTGCACTTAGTCACAGACTATAGAAATGTCATAATTAGTTGACATTTCAATTGTGAAAGTTTCTCATTTCCTGCAAACTTAGGCAAATGAGGGATTTATGCTATATTTTACTTTTTATGGCTGCATTTTCTGGTAGTGAGCTGTTTCAGATTGACAATAAAATTCCTAATGGTAGTTGTTTGTTCTTCTTTTGGGAAGACTCTTCGGAAGTTTTTATCAGCTTAACAGTTGTTCTGCTGCTCACCAGTGCTGAAGGCTATACT